GGTGCTGCCAACTTTGGAAAAAGTCATCCCAATTTACTGTGTTGACTTGGCACTGTACAGAAATGGACAACCATATTGGTCTAGAAATGTTAATTTATTTTTTTTTCCATGTGTACAGGGGTAACACATCATACTAAATATGTAAGGTCATATCTATGTGGGTTTGATTACAGAAACTAATAAAGTATTCTCTAAATAATGAAAAAAAGAATAAGATAAGACTATAAGAGCGAGAAGCAATTTAAATATGTTCAGGGACCATTTTCATCTCCAGAATTAAGGATTATTTTGATGTTACATCATTGCCTTTTCTCTTTTACTTTCCTTTTTAGTTTTATTTTAGGATTCCCTATTTTTAATATTCATACAGAGATTTCTTTAACTGAAATACTGAATAGTTTCTTTGGTGTGAAAAACTATAATAGTACACAGGATCCTAATGAGATAATTAATAATGTGAAATAGGAAGTAAAGAGCTAAAGGTGTAAGGAAAGTGGGAAAGATGGGGGAAAGGTAATAAGGGAGAGGAAAAAAATATGGGAAACTGAAAAAATGGAAATAAAGTGTTTGTAAATGGGGAGGGGAGGAGGGGGTGAAGGGAGAGCAGGGACAAGGGGAAAAATGAGAATCAAGACCTATTATGCAAAGGTACAGAATCCCAATGATGAGTGTAATTGTATTGTATACCTAGATTGTACCAATAACCTCAATAAAAAGAAAAAAAAAACAGAGAAATATCTGTGAGCACCTTTCGTGCTTGAAGCAGCAAGAAATCGGCAGTGCCCAAGCTGTGGAAGGAAGCCGAGGAACAGCATAGGAACTCTCTGTGATCCCAAAGAGTCAAAAAGCAATCAGAGACAATTCAGCGATGTCAGAACACCAGACACAACCTAAGGTGTTTCTCCGGGCTAGAAGCCACAATTTTAACACTCACAAGAGTATAAGCTGGAATGGATTAAAACTGAAGTCCATGTGTTGATGATTAAGTAATCTGAAGAAAGGAGGAAGCAAACAAAGTATCTTACTGGCTCCCATGGAAGACCAATGTATGACTAGGTGGGTGTTAGAGAACCAACTTAGAGGAGAAGAGGGAAAGGCATTTATTCTGCCTTTCCTAGCTGGACCTTCAGGATGCTTAAGTAGTTTATGGAGGAAAGCTAGTGTGCAGAGGAGCATTCTACTCATGAGATGAAGAAAGAATAGTAAAATCAGATAATCCCAGATGGGGTCCCAGGAATGAATCTGCACCTGGGGGTAATGGTGAACTATGGGTTTCCGAAGTGAGAGTCACAAGGAGAGTGCACAGCATGTCGCACACCACTAGCAAGACAGAGAAGCCAGCCTGAATGCAATCAGGTATCTGGATGCGCTGCAGATTCGGTGAGATGCTCCAAAAAGAAGATATGCACACAGTCTGTGTGCACAGACTGTGCAAAACCCAACAAAGCAAAGGGTTCAGTTTCTTTAAAAATTATCTGTATGAGGAACAACTAAAGAAGGCTCAAGGACCAGGCCAACAAATTTTAACACACAGACTGTGTGTGTGTGTGTGTGTGTGTGTGTGTGTGTGTGTGTGTGTATTATAGTGGGACACAGGGAGAAGGTGGTTCCAGGAGAAACCCACATGTGAGCTAGGACTTCCAGCTGTCTGCTCTGTAAGGTGATTAATGTCTGTTGTTGAAGCCGCCCAGTCTGTTATAGCAGCCTAGGCCTACTGACACAACAAC